CCTCTCTTTGGAATGGGCACAAATATGGATCTCTTCCAATCAGTCGGCCAGATAGTTGTCTTCCAAATTTCTTGGCAGAGATGAATGAGTGCCTCCTGTGCCGCCTCACTTTATTGAAAGATTTCCATTTTATTCCATCAATTCCTGGTGCCTTGTTCTTTGCCAATTCCTTCAATGCACCTTGGACCTCCTCCAAGGTGCATTGGCTTTTGATCCTACGCTACCTCTTGAAACGGTTGAACAGCGACCATTTCCTTTTGATACAGTGACTCTGTGTATTCCTTCCATCTTCTTGGGATGCTTTCTGCATCATTCAATATTTTGCTCATAGAATCCTATAATACCACAAGTCAACGTTTGAATTTTTTCTTTAGTTCCCTCAGCTTGAGAAACGTTGACCGTGTTCTTCCCTGATTTATATTGTGGATTCAAGATACATTTTAGAGACTTTCAGATATTTAAAATGACCACCTTTTCTAAAGCAGAAAGCAAAAACCTAGAAATGATCCACCATCAATTAAGTTCCAACTCGGGCCGGACGCAGCAGAACCATTCCTTGGGGTTTATGAGGCTGGTACCTTTGCGGGAGCAGACAGCCTTGTCTTTCTCCTGCGGAGCGTAAGGTGGGTTTGAACCACTGACTTTGCAGTTAGCATTCCGGTACGTCTCTCACAGGGGTGCATGGACGTGGCTTCAGAGATAACTGGGTGTCTGTCTTCTTGCAGTGGAATTCTTGTTCTGCAACCTGGCCTCCCTGAGGTCCATCAGACAGTGTGTGCGCAAGTTCAAGGCGAGGAAACTCCCACTGCACGTTCTGGTAAACAATGGTGAGTCCTGGGGACCTTGGTGAGGGACAGACTCAAACCCGCTCCACCACGGCCGTGTCTCGGGAAGGCAGGGGATCCACACACTCGAGACGTGGGTACACCCACGGCTTCCTTGCGTCGATGAATTTCGCTCGTGTGAACAGCAAGGTTGGCGGTTCAAGCTCACCAGCCGCTCCTTGGAAACCCTACGCAGGGTCGCTATGAATCAGAACGTGCTTGTCGCCAGACAACAACCACGATGAGCCTAGCTGGTTTTAGGGTTTCACCTGGACTGTTACTGAGAAGTGGGGTGTTTGCTGAATAGCCTCATCTTGTAGGGGTCTTGGGCTTAGTTCCAAACCCCAATTAGGCAGTCCAGTCTGATCCTACCGAGTCACATCAGGATTCCACACAGAGCTAACTACATGCTTATATATCTGTATGTGGTTGTTGTTGTTAAGTGCTGTTGAGTTGGTCCCTGACTCATAGTCCCACGTCAAGACTCCCAGAGTTCCTTTAATAGACTGAACTCTAGGTCTCAGACCATTTTTCTACGTGGCTTTTTGTAGATGTCGCGAGTTCGGTTCCAGGCCACCCCACTAAAGCGAATATCACAGTGCAGTGACTCACACGGGTTTTTGGTTTCCCCAGGCATAGAAAAGTGATGTGGAACATACACTGTAGTCTATCAAAGGAACTCTAAAACTCCTGATGTGGCGTTGGACTGAGGAACACAAGGTCGGCGGTTCAAACCCACCAGCCGCTCCTCAGAAACCCTCCACAGGGTTTCTATGAGTAGGAACCGACTCAACGGCACTTAACAACAACAACAACAACAATAGGTATAGGTGGACTGGTGTGCCGCTGTAGGATCACAACTGGACTGAGAACCGCAACGTCGGTGGTTCAAACCCATCAACTGCTCCTTAGAAACCCTATGCAGTTTTGCTATGAGTCGGGACCAACTCCACGGCACTTAAGATCAATAGGTATAATA